AGGGCCGAGGCCGCTGCCGCGCCCGGTCCCCAGGTGCGCACCCGGGCGCTGGGGACGCGGCCAGGCGGGGAGGTAGGTCCGGCTGCCGGCGGCGCTTTCACGCCCCAGGTGCACTCGCACTGCCGCAAGTGCGCACTCCCACGTGGCCACATTGTAGAGAACTACAGTAAAATTGGTACTTGTGGAAGCCCAGCCTGATTCCTTAATTGGCACGTACTGAGCCACAACGTTAACCTACCGAGGGAAGATGCAGGACTTGCCCTCCCTTCAAATGAACTTTTTATTCGGTCCCTCTTCTTTGCAAGTAAATTGGGTTAATCACGGCCATGAAGCAATGTAGAAACTTCTATTCGCAAGAAATTAGAAATCTTGTTGAGGCAGGGGTTACAAGTAAAGAGCTGAACAGCAAGTTAAAAAATGGTTCGAGAATGTGAACTAGAAAATTGCACAGTGAGGAAGTCAGTACACTGGTAATTGTCGAATGAAATGCGTTTATTCTTTGGTAACTGAAGCGGGACTGGCAAGCCTGTTAACCAACTTGCCAGGAGACCTTTCAGCTGGGCAAAATGTGCTTTCATTTTGTTCCAGGTCAAATGGGTAAACGAAGTTGAAAGTGTTGTGTGGGCAAATCAGACATGTTGAATTACTGATGAAGTGAAAACAGGAGCACGTAACATGCCTGGAACTGAAATACTGTTAGGATATCCTGTTAGAAACAGTAGTGATGGTCTCTGCTCTTTCCTCAACTTTTTCGTATTGCCCTCAAGATTGATCGCTGAGGCCAAGGCCACCCTGTAATAACTGGGGTTTTTTTAGTCCGTGAAATAAATCTTACGTGTGCTTCTGGTGAATTCTAGATCTTTTCATCTGTTGGTACAAGGCCCAATTTCAGTTTGACCTGTTTCAAGTTAGGAAAATTTGTAAGTGTTCTTGATGGATGAAATATACCATATTTCATATATATATTTTATATTTCATATATATTTATATAGTATATGTACAGTATATATATACTTTCCGTTATATATATAATATGTGTGTGTGTGTGTGTGTGTGTGTGTGTGTGTGTGTGTGTATGAAAAGGAGCGCATGCTTTGCCAACAAATTCAGGGAAGAAAAAGGATAAAATGTTTGCATTCTCAAAGCTGTTTCTCATCTATTAAAAGTTAAAAATAAGGAAAGTAACAGATCTCTGGATGAGTAGACGTAATAGTGAAATATGAAAAAATAGTGAAAAAATAATGAATTCATGAGAAAATTAGAACAGATTATCCACAAAAAGCTTAGAAACTCAGTTCTGTGGCAGATAGAGCAAAATCACAGCTGTAACAAAAGGTTTCACAGAATGCATCTAGGAGTAAAGGCACCAGAGATGTGCGCACATTGATGCGTCAAGAGTCGTGAGCGTTGTTTTCTAGATCTAACAGCCATTACTAGAATTCATTTTGAGGGCTGAGTAGTGTAGCCAGAAAATATAGATTAAATGGATATTTAAGGAAGCAAGTATGTCCTCTCAATTATGTAAAAGATTTTATAAATTTATGACAATGCATGGACTATCCATACATTGTCAGAATCAATGAAAAACATTTCTGGAGTATTTGCTGTGTTCAAGAAAGACACTCTGATGAGATGGAAGACAAACAAACGTGAGAACAGGTTCTGTCCTTCCTGGGGTTTAAATTTAGCTGGGAAAGAGGTGGTATAATATGTAAATACCTGAAACAACAGAGAGGCTAAATAACAATTTAAAAGGATATGAGCATCAGAGCTAAATTTAATATTCGGTTGTTACAACCATCTTATCCCTGCTCCTTGGTGAGGTTGTATTTTCTCTGCCTCTTTTTTTACATTAAAAAAAAAATGTTTTTTCCTGACCGTATTTTAAAGTGTCATAAACTTACTATAAAAATACTTTTAATCATCTTTGGAAAATCATCAGCATACAAATTCTAAGTAAAGCAAGACTGATGTCAGAGGTATCCTGATACAGAATAATTACAGTTTCTACTGGGTGCCCATTAGGAACCATGGAAAACTATTAAGTCAGACTCAAATAGCCCCCTTAAGTAAGCTCCTCAAAGTGGGGTCTATTTACCTCTACCCAACAGGCTTAGCAAATTACCAAGATAAAAAGCTACTTGACAGAGTTTGAAAGCCAATAATTTTTTTCCTCTCTATCACAGTGAGAAAAAAAAAAAGTGCAAAAACTAGTCTCTAAACCATTATAAAAATGTACCATTGCTTTCCTCTGAAAAAAATCCCAATCCTCTATAGTTACAATTAATCCATACTTTTATGGGAGTCCTGAAATTAAAACTGATA